TGTCTCACTTTCTTCAACAAGAAGAATTGCCAGATGATGCAACTATAACGGTTCCACATGGTAGTACAGATAAGGCAATCAATATAAATGATGCTACATTCTCTTGGAACCCATCTTCTCCAACCCCTACACTTTCTGGCATCAACCTTAGTGTGGTGAGGGGTATGCGAGTAGCAGTGTGTGGTGTCATTGGTTCTGGCAAATCAAGCTTGTTGTCTTCTATACTCGGCGAGATACCCAAATTGTGTGGTCAAGTAAGTAAATGTATACATTATTGGTGTTAAAATGCACGGTAGTTTTGTTACATTTTCCCCTAACTCCTTTCCAGGTGAGGATCAGTGGATCAGCAGCATATGTCCCTCAGACTGCCTGGATACAGTCCGGAAACATTGAGGAGAACATTCTTTTTGGCAGTCCAATGGACAAACAGCGTTACAAGAGAGTTATTGAGGCTTGCTCCCTGAAGAAAGATCTTCAGTTGCTCCAATATGGAGATCAGACCATCATCGGTGATAGGGGCATTAATTTGAGTGGGGGTCAGAAACAAAGAGTACAGCTTGCAAGAGCACTATACCAAGATGCTGATATTTATTTGCTCGATGATCCCTTCAGTGCGGTTGATGCTCATACTGGGAGTGAATTATTTAGGGTTGGTACTCATTGTTGCCTATTCCATCTATTTCAAAAGTTTTTTTTTCCATTGCATAACATCCCAAGCTTCTGTGTTACAGGAATATATATTGACTGCACTAGCAAGCAAGACCGTAATTTATGTAACCCATCAAATTGAGTTTCTACCAGCTGCTGACTTGATACTGGTAACTACATTCTTCTCACAATCTGAATATGTTGTAATCATTTATGCACAAGAGTATTTCCATCAGAATTAACTATACAGGCAGATTCTGTATAAAAGCAAGTTATTTTTAGTTATAGTTTTCATGAGACTATGCATGATCATAGGGGCCTGGATTGATGTCTCTTTATTCTTCTATATTGTGCACGTGCAGGTTCTTAAGGATGGTCATATCACCCAAGCTGGAAAATATGATGATCTTCTCCAAGCTGGCACTGATTTCAATGCTTTGGTTTGTGCTCATAAGGAAGCTATTGAGACCATGGAATTTTCCGAAGATTCCGATGAGGATACTGTCTCTTCTGTTCCTATCAAAAGACTGACGCCAAGTGTTAGCAATATAGATAATCTGAAAAACAAGGTGTCCAATAATGAAAAACCATCTAGTACGCGTGGAATAAAAGAAAAGAAGAAGAAGCCTGAAGAGCGTAAGAAGAAGCGGTCTGTTCAAGAGGAGGAGAGGGAGCGAGGAAGGGTTAGCTTACAGGTTTACTTGTCATACATGGGAGAAGCATACAAAGGTACACTGATACCCCTCATTATCCTGGCCCAAACCATGTTTCAAGTACTTCAGATTGCGAGTAACTGGTGGATGGCATGGGCAAACCCACAAACAGAAGGAGATGCACCTAAGACAGACAGTGTGGTTCTCTTGGTTGTTTATATGTCCCTTGCCTTTGGGAGTTCATTGTTTGTGTTTGTGAGAAGTCTTCTTGTGGCTACATTTGGTTTAGCAACTGCACAGAAGCTGTTTGTAAAGATGCTAAGGTGTGTTTTTCGAGCGCCAATGTCATTCTTTGATACTACACCATCTGGTCGAATTTTGAACCGAGTAAGTTAAATTTGTTCTTTCTCCTGTTAATATTATTTTGTATCACTTGATTCTTAAATGTGCCATTTCTAATGTGAATCATGCATACCAGGTTTCTGTAGATCAAAGTGTCGTGGACCTTGATATAGCATTCAGACTTGGTGGATTTGCATCAACAACAATTCAACTACTTGGAATTGTTGCTGTCATGAGCAAAGTCACATGGCAAGTTTTGATTCTTATAGTTCCTATGGCTGTTGCATGCATGTGGATGCAGGTAATTCATTGCTGAGGCAGTGAAAACTGAATTTCTTGCTTGTGTTTAAAGAATTGAGACGTTTCACATTTCTCTTCGTAAAAAACATTTTGCTTGCTTGCTTTTGCTTACTATCAGTAATATATGTTTTCTAATCAGGGGTTTTTTTACTGATAAATATTATCTACCACGCAGAGATATTATATTGCTTCATCAAGGGAATTGACTAGGATCTTAAGCGTACAGAAGTCGCCGGTGATCCATTTGTTTAGTGAGTCAATTGCTGGTGCTGCTACAATCAGAGGTTTTGGTCAAGAGAAACGATTCATGAAAAGAAATCTTTACCTTCTTGACTGTTTTGCTCGGCCTCTATTTTCCAGCCTGGCAGCTATTGAATGGCTGTGCCTGCGAATGGAATTGCTCTCGACCTTTGTCTTCGCTTTTTGCATGGCGATACTAGTGAGCTTCCCTCCTGGCACAATTGAACCAAGTATGTCTTATCTGGTGTCACATGTACTGTTCTATTGCATTTTGTGATATTTCTTTACCTAATCATTTACATAAGCACAGAGGAAAGTCTTGCATCATTTTGTCGGTTTACATTTTGCTTTATCTAAGTGTGGTTCTATCTTGATAGGTATGGCTGGGCTTGCTGTCACTTATGGACTTAATTTAAATGCTCGCATGTCAAGGTGGATACTGAGCTTCTGTAAATTAGAGAATAGAATCATCTCTGTTGAACGCATTTATCAGTATTGCAAGCTTCCCAGTGAAGCACCACTCATCATTGAGAATAGCCGTCCCTCATCCTCGTGGCCTGAGAATGGAAACATTGAGCTGGTCGATCTCAAGGTACAATCCTGAACTGATGTGTATTTTATCTCTGTCCTCTCCTAAGCCAATCCCATTTGTGAATTTAATTCTATTATCAAACATGACAGGTACGGTACAAAGATGACCTGCCCTTAGTTCTACATGGAATCAGTTGTATATTTCCCGGTGGAAAAAAGATTGGGATTGTGGGGCGAACTGGAAGTGGTAAATCTACTCTTATTCAGGCCCTTTTCCGCTTAATTGAACCTACAGGAGGGAAAGTTATCATCGATGACGTCGATATTTCTAGAATTGGCCTGCATGATCTGCGGTCACGGTTGAGCATCATTCCCCAGGACCCTACGTTGTTTGAGGGTACTATCAGAATGAATCTTGATCCTCTTGAAGAATGTACTGATCAGGAAATTTGGGAGGTACGCCCTGGTCACTTTCAATGCTGCAGCCATGTTAAATATGTCTTGATTTTTATGGAAGGACCTCTTTTCTTTCAGGCACTAGAAAAGTGTCAGCTCGGAGAGGTCATTCGGTCCAAGGATGAAAAGCTGGACAGTCCAGGTCTGTTTCTTTCTTGAATAAATGGATAATTCTTGTAAAGTATGGTGTTTTTCCCCTCTAAATTTATTTTCCTGGGCGTCTGTTGGGTTGCAGTACTGGAGAATGGAGATAACTGGAGTGTGGGACAACGCCAGCTTATTGCATTGGGTAGGGCCCTGCTGAAACAGGCAAAAATTTTGGTGCTTGACGAGGCAACAGCATCAGTTGACACAGCTACGGACAATCTTATTCAAAAGATTATTCGCAGTGAATTCAAGGATTGCACGGTCTGCACCATTGCACACCGTATCCCGACGGTTATTGATAGTGACCTAGTCCTGGTGCTTAGTGATGGTACGGTCTCTTCACTGAAATTAACCAAATGACCTAAGAATTTTCCTATTCACCTGTCAAAACTTGTCCATTTTACCTTTCTTTTGTTGTGAACTTATCTTATCCTTTGGATTCCAGGTAAAATTGCAGAGTTTGACACACCCCAGAGGCTCTTGGAGGACAAGTCCTCCATGTTCATGCAGCTAGTATCTGAATACTCAACTCGGTCAAGCTGTATATAGAGAGGCTTAGCTTAAAATCCCCCACACCAAGTAGGAACAGGGAGGTAGGATAGCCACATCTGCCAGTGGACTCACGCCATAGAAGTACCAACATCATAGGGCAAGACACAAGCCGAGGTGTATATGAGCGGAAACAAAATGTTCCCTGACGTGAATAAACCATGGAATCGATGAGGGAACGCAGCGGGCAGCACCACGGGAGGAGTTGGTGAGATTACCCGAAGCTCTGATGCTTCTGAATGTATAAACAATGCGGTACTACTTCTCCCTTGCATAGTGGAAAAAGGGAAGGCAATGTTCATGGGTAATAAAGGGGTAACAAGTTTCATTTTGGCACCAGATTGGAGTGCTTTGGTCTACTGTATAGAACTCACCTCACCTGTGCAGTAAAACATAAAGCATATAGTAGTTAAAAGATGATACTGCAGCAGTTCAGCGATGAATCTGCTGGTCCCTGTTGCAACTTGCAATTGTAAGAGTGTAGCTGCAGAGGCAATGAGGCATTGAAGCGAGGCCATCCCAGACCATATCGCTGCAAATCCTTTGACAGAGATAGACCATATCGCTCGTACGTGGCAGTCCCATTTCAGCCCAACTATTATGGCCTACACGGGCGTGACAGCCCGTCCCGGCCCAACTAACATAGGCCGCATTAGTTCCAGCACAGATAACATGGGCTGTAGAACGGGCCATCAAGTACCTGCCAGAGGCAGGCGGGCCCACCTCAAGCGCGCGCGGCAGCTGGACTACCCGCAGGGGACGGCCCCCATCTCCTGATCTCCTCTACCTTTTCCTCCACCCTTCCGACAATGGCAAGTGGATCCGCTAACTAAAACGTCACCAGTGCAAAACGATCAATCACCAAATTCGATCTTTTTAATCGGCATTACTACCTCTCTGTCCTATATAATAAAGAAAACAAATATAATATGAATATGAAATATCCAAGTAATACGAATTTAACAATATCCAAGCACTATGAATTTAACCTGTGTTTTTCATGGGACTGACGGAGTACGTGCCATTGAAAATAAGAAACTTCAACCGTTCTACTGCACATGCCTAATTATTCTAGCACGAAGATGATACGTGCAAGAAACGCTCTGCAGACATTCTAGGAAAGAGAGGCTCACATGGTCAGTAGCTTTTGTCGACTATGTCGGCTTTAGTTTATGGTTCTTAGAAACAGAGTTATAGCTGACACAAGGTACAAACAGGCCAGATGATCAAACAGGACAACATAACGTGATTACCTCTTCAACCTTCAGCTTTGCCAGCATTTCACCTACAAACTCTATGAACTGAAATGCCTTGGCAAAGCATATCGATCGTTCGATCCCAATATCACTATTACAGCACCCTTAGGGTACATATCTATAGAGCTATCTGGATTCTGGAACAAATTATGAAGCATATATTTGAAGTTGGAAACATCTTCTAGCCTCTCTCATCGCCTTCCCAGTTGTTTTTCTCCTTTGGTCCAGTTGGTCCTTCCTCCTCGTACAGCTCCACCGGAAGACTGTTCAGTATTGCTTCAGCTGTGAACCGAAGAAAGAAGGGCAAGAAGCTAAGCACAGCGTCTATCTCCGACCGTGAGTTGTATTCCACGGTCGGGCCCCATTCTCTCATGTACTGCAGCCAGCATGGTTCGATAACGGCATCTCCCAGATTTCCCGCAGAGATGATCTTATACCTTGTGCTCGAATCGACCAAAATATCGCTTCGTGCTGCATCGTTTCTTACCCCAACACCAGCCTTCTCAGATCCCAACAGATAACATCCAGGGTGCGCATAGCTTGCGTGGCCATCCTTCGCTGAGTAAACGATGGCTTTGTTTCCTGAGATGAACTCCAGATCACATGCATCCACCCAGTCGCCTCCACTGTGCTGTGAGAAGTAGATAGATGAGAGCTCTCCTGAGAAGTTACTTATACGGAGGGTGAAATGCTCCCAGTCACCAGTATGCCTGCCGACTTTCTGTAGAGCAAAGCTAGCAAATCCGACCTTTATTGTTGCTGGCCCATTAAATGGGCAGAACACCCACATCGCAATGTCAGTGAAAGTTCCTCCATGAGCCGGCTTAATATGCACATAGAGCTCAGCACTCTTCAGATTACCAGCTTTGACATATTCATTCCTATCACCATCAGGAATATCAATCCAGTACTCACCGTCATTTGTCCCACCAGCAGGAAGGTTCGAACCACTAGCAAGAATTACATCTCCCATTTCTTTACCTTTCTTGTGGAGCGTAGCTCCATTCTCAAAGAACCAAGAGACTGACGATGGTAAGTAGATCTCTTGCGGGTGGAAGAAAACAGTTGGTCCATAGTGCTCGATCAGTGCTTTGATCTGCTCTAAATTAGGCATGGAACTCAAACTTGAATCAAAGTTCTTCAAGCAGGGAATGTCTGATTCTTCTGTATCTGTTCCACAGAAGAATGTACCAACAGGTATCCCTCTTCCTGCCATCCCTCGGTGGCAAGGCCTTGTATTCCAGATGTAGCAATTACCTCCCATATTTGTGATTGACTTAAAGTTTTCACATTCATCAGTGAGGTCACCCCGCACACATCGAACTGCATCTAATGAGGGCTTCTTCGGTCCTCTAGTAACCACATAGCCGAGAGCTTCATAACCATCCGGTGGTGATGGTGACCAGAAGCAACCACAATCACTATTGTCATCATCATTCAAGTCAGTACTAGTCCAAACAAGGGTGTAATCTAATGGTTTCTCAAGAGCAGGCTTGAGATTGATCGATTGGCAGCTAGCCGCTTCCCTTGCCACAAGAAGAAATCCCTGTAAAGGTCGGTCATTCTGTTGGGCATAGTGCCCAAGGCAGTGGAAACCATCAGGGATTTCTTGCGGCTCATAGAATGTAGCTCCTGAGCAGCTCCATATACTCTGGAATTTGGTAATACTTGCAACCTCGAGCTCGCCTATGCATATTGTGCCCTTAGAGAAATCTCCTCCTGTGAAGAAGTTGACAAAATGTTACATAGAGGTTCAGGAATTCAGGAAGCTATCCTTAATTTTGGGAAAACTAATGGCATGCAAATTAAAATTTGGAACATTCTGTTTTATGCGCTTGCTAGTTGCTACTCGTTGCTCAACTAAGAACGGTAAAAGAAAAATCAACTCCATCATAACCCCAAAAATAGCCTGTGCAAATTGAAGTGAACTAAAGATTTTGGTTTCTTGCAAATGGGTGCAAATCTTTGAGCCTACGACTGCTAGTGTGCTAGCTTATCAATTAATAGGCCTTGTGAGTAAATCAGAATATTCCTGGCTATACCACTTCCATTCCAAGCCAAGCATCAGGATTTCGACTCAATCCTTACGCTAAGACCATATTAGAATCGACGATACCATATCTAATAAAATGAAAAATCTGTTTATTAACTATTTGACTGTCACCCGCCGAAGAAATTAAGGATCAATTCTGTCAACTGCCATGAAAAATTTCCCGTTTAGGAAAGAAGGAACGGACAAGCAACAAATCAAATCAAATTTGGCGCGAGCTCACGCATAGCAGCTGAAAATTTACATCCATCCACAAAGACACTATCCGGCAATCCAAACCATAGATGACGACGCAGATTAAGATTAAGAACCAATTAAACAGTACAGGAAGAAACGAGGAAAGCGAAGAAGTCCCCGAACCTTGCGGCCAGTCGGGCAAGGGCGCCGGCAGCTGGAACGGCTCCGGCAGCCGGACCTCGCCTTCGGCGGCGATCGACGGGCCGCAGCCGAAGCAGCTCCACCAAGCCATCGCCCCAACCCCTCCCCTCCCCTTCCTTCCTTGCCCCTTCTTCACCCAGTCCAACCCCCGAGCTCTCTCCTCCTCTTATTTATAGGTCAAAGCGGCGGCTGGCTCGGGCTCCCGCGCGCGAGCTCCGGTCCAACGGGGGACCGGCGCCTCTTCTCTCCATTGGTAGCCAATGGCCGCCGCTTCCGCGGGGTTGATGGCGACGCCGGAGACGGGCTCGGGCCGGGCCTGGGCCTGGGCCTGGACCTGGGCTGGGGCGGCGTGAGACACGAGGGGAATGGGCCGTTGCATTCGGCGTCGGAACTCGGGAATATGCTTTTCTTTCGCTCACGCGATGCGAGGATATTTCGCACGCAGACCTACGTGTCCGAAAAGCGGTGGCGATTCGGGCGCGGACGAGGTGCGTGAAGGTGAAGGAGATGGGCTTCCTGTTCGGCTGGGGGATTCGTAGCGTGACAGGAAGTGGTTACGTCCTGCTCATGAATACTTACCGGGTAGTTGTACTGGCAATAGTCACGGTGGAGTAGAAAGGATCAGCACAACGACCTCCAGGCTCCAGCCGCCAGGTGAAGCTGGATCATACATTGATACAGTACATTCATACCTCAGCAGTCAGCACTCAGCACTGACATAAACAATGCTACTCCCTCCGTTCACAATGTAAATCGTTCTAACATTTTTCACATTTATATTAATATTAATGAATTTAAAATGCTCCCTCAAAATCCTATCACTTATTTAGTAAAATAGTAGTAGTACCTGTGAGGGTCATATCATATGGGCTTTGAGTTGAGCCCTCAAGCATCAAGCCCTCGAGCTTTGAGTTTGAGAGTGAGTTTACCGTAAGCACGTTTTTCTTAAACTGCTAATCTGCAATACGAGATGTGTTAAAAAAATGTATAAAAGTTTTTTTAAAAACAATAAATCTATTTTTATAATAGTTATTTCCTCCGTTTCACAATATAAGACTTTCTAGCATTATCCACATTCATATAAATGTTAATGAATCTAGAACAATGCTAGAAAGTCTTACATCGTGAAACGGAGGGAATATTACTTAATCAATCATGTAAAGATGGTTTGTACCTTTTTCAAGCCGTCAATCAGCTACAACCGAAATGTCATGTCCTACCAAAGTGAGCCTCAGAGTATATTTGGGGAGCTTGTTCATAGAAGTTACTGGTTGGTAGCCCGCTTTAGAGATTTTGGAAAACTGGGTTTTCTATCTTGTAGTTTTTAGTTTATTTTCTAGATTCTACAACTACAAATTCTTAGAATTGAAAAAAAACTAAACTGTTTAGAAAACTTATGATTATGAGATAAACTGATATTAGAAACTCCCTCAAACACACCGTCAGAAGCTGCCCAAAACAGGCCGTCGGTGAGCATTGGGTGACTAGCTTGTGAGGCTCCTCGCATACTCGCACAGGCTTCGGTCGATGGATAATTCCACAGCAGCAGTGCAGCACCGGCCGTGTCACCTGGGCCAGCCGGCCAGCTCTGTAGTCTGTACCATACATGAACTGATGAACAGAAATATGTCCAACCATCAAGAAAGCATAAAAGTAAAGACACAGATTTGTCCCAGAATGAAATGCTTTGCATTTTCCACACAAAAAGGAAAAAAATGTATCGTCTTCTAGTAAGGTAGGAGTATAGTTGTTGTCTTTCTTGCATCATCAAATCAGAGCTTGCCATCATCGATAATCTCTGCTGTTGTAAAAGCAGATATGTCCTACTTCCGTCCTGTCCAAGCACCAGCAGTGCACATCGAATGTGACACATGCATTGAGTACCAAACGTAGGAAAAAAACCAATTACGCAATCTAAATTGTGATATAAATCTTTTAAGCCTAATTACACCATAATTTGACAATGTGGTGCTACGGTAAATATTTACTAATGATGGATTAATTAGGCTTGATAAATTTGTCTCGCAGTTTCCTGGCGAAATTTAGAATTTGTTTTGTTATTAGCCTACGTTTAATATTTAAAATATGTATCCGTATATCCGATATGACAACCAAACCCAAAAATTTTTCCCAATTAAACGAGGCCTCAGAGCATAAAGTGAAATCCACACTTCCAAGTTCCAACCCATCCCCAGTCACATATGCCCGTTGCAAACTTGCAATGTACGGGTATTCTACTAGTAAGAATAAAAATATAGGAATTTTCCATATCAATAATATAATTGCCACAAAAAAAACTTGTCCATTCATCTGGTACAATAATGGTGGGAAATCACCAAGTAATGAAATGCATGAAATTCAGCTAAACATCAAAGTCTCACACCTGAAAATACAGTATGGAAAGCGTTGCATTCCTGAAAGAACTGCAAACATCATTACCACAGAACCAAGAGCTAATGATACCATTACTCTCGTGAATTCCATTTATCCACTTGTCCACAAGCCTGAAACCCTGGGCCATTGCGGTAGAAAGGATAGAATCCTCATCAACTCGGCGCTGAATGTAGCAAAGAATAAGGGCTGCATCTGAATCCTTATTAGAAATTAGTTCCCTAGCAGTCTTGAAGAGGGGAAATATAGCGTCAGGATTGTAGGTAACGTCAGTTCCTATTATGCAATCAAAACCTGCTCCATCGCTGGAAAGCTCCCTGACTGCCTTCAGATCATCTTTGTCGCCCCAAAATAACTTCCTGATCAGAATCTTTTTAAGCAAATCAGGCTCCAAGTTAGAGGCAGTATTTTCTCTAAGAAGATCGAGAGATTCTGCGTCTCCATCAGTAGCTACAACAAACTGAGCAACTGTAGCAGCAACCATTGAGCAGATGCCAGCCGAGCCACAGCCCAGTTCCAGCACTCTTTTGCCAGCAAGAATGGAAGGATTCTCTGCTAGAACACTGCACATGAATTGAGCTGATTCCCAAAGCATTAGACCGGTTAATTTGCAGGTGTGCTGGTGTTCTTTTGTGAGCATTTTTATTTCGAAGTCATGACCTTTTGCTTTGATCCGAAGGACCTGAGCCTGCAAAACAGAGAAATATTATGTGAAATTACTTCACAAGACAATGACAAATTTGTAATGTCAAGAGTATATTAGAAACATAAAGATAAACAATTCCAGATTTGTGATTGAAAAAGAGAAATCACATCTGCAGTTTCATGCCATTGCATTGACATCCCACTGCAACTGCAGACCTGCAGTGACTAATGTCAAACAGATAATGCAAATATGCTGCATACCTGCAGTTAATTGCTGCTGGATGCATGCCTTGCCAGTCATCGGGTAATTGTATTGCTTACCAATGACATGGATTGAAAAGGACAAATGGGCTTTTTTTTTTGTTCTTCCTTTTTCTTTGCAGGTAATCCACACCTAGCGAACCCGAGTAAACCAAATTAAAGGTTTAATATTGTTTTTCTCATGCTGCTCTTTTAGATCACTACCAAACTTACTGAACTCTCTTCTGTGTCACTTTATATTATACATTACTCCCTCCGTTTCACAATGTAAGACTTTCTAGCATTGTCCATATTCATATAGATGCTAATGAATCTAGACATTATTATATATATATATATTCATTAGCATCTATATGAATGTGGGCAATGCTAGAAAGTCTTACATTGTGAAACGGAGGAAGTACTTTTGATATGTCATTCAGATAAGACAAAAGTAATGGATACTAGCTTCTCGTTAATAAGGCGTGGCAGGAAATCCAACTTTTTTACTCCAATACAAGTCTGATGCTCACAGCAACAAAGGATAACACTCAGCTTAAATTAATAAAAGTTACCTCATCAAGGTTGTGTGAAGTTCCAAACATATTGTTAAAATCCTCAGAAAGGTCAATTTCTTCACTGGTGCTCTTCTCCTGAGAAGCATTAGCAGTTAACTTATCCTTTTCATCTTCACAAGTGTGGGAATCGTGCTGGCCATTTGGGCCTTGAAGACCAGCTGAGCCAAGGATAAAGGTGGCTTGGATCCAGTTCCTAAGCAATATATATAAAAATAATCACGTTGTTGTGAAAAAAAAAGTGGGGGCATATTTGAAATCAAGGAAGATAACCACAGTAAAGAGAACAGAGCAAATTAAAAAGGGCAAGGCTACCAAAGTACATGTGTTCTGCAATCGATAGAATTACTCTGAAAGCATTATTAATGTAGGCAAAAAAATATACATGCTTTCTCAATAGCAGGTGGTGCATATATTCTAGAGATATCTGTACAAAGCAAATAATCATCACCTGTTCATCACCAAGTCAAGTGAGCGGTTCTCGACTTGTTTATTGTGCACACAAATCTCCTCAACAGTAAATCCACATGTTGAGAATAAATCCATCAGGTACTCATTTGAAAAGTAATATGCTCGCTGCATGGAGCCCGCATTTCAGAATCAATCCACCAGTTTATTTTATAGGTAAAAAGTATCTGTTAATTTTGTTGTGCATAAACTTCCATTAGAGAATATGATTATCTACCATGCACTCACCGTGCCATCCCCTCTGACATAGAAATTCTCACTTATTTGTTGGCCTTTAGACATAAGTCTTTCCTACAAAATATTTACAGCAAGACAATAAGATGGTGGATTAGTGGATTGTTATGCTGCATGATGTAAACACCTAAGGGAATATTTCATACAGTTTGAGACTTGCATCTGATATATGGAAAGTTTGAAACAATTCTTCTCTTGCATGCACTAAACCAAAATCATATCACCAAGAATAGGGAAAAGAGAAGATTTGTAGAAGCCATCAAATTAAACAATCCTACTTTTAGAGAAGGCATCAAAATACACATAGGAAGATATTCATACCTGTGCAAGGTCGCCAAAAGCATAGTCCCGAAAAAGCACACGGCCACCATTCTAATACATAATACATGAGTTTAGTTCCTTGAGTCAATAGAATTTCTAAGAAATTAAAAGAAAATAATGATACTGTACTTAGAAGTAACAGGGGCACTTACTTTCAGAACAGTTCTAACATTCTGAAGAACTAGAGGCATTTTAGCGGGTGCAACTGCAGAAAGCATAAAGATCTACTTAATATGTTAGCTGGTTGCACACTCAAAAGTCTATAAATAGATGTAAATAAAGAAGTTAAAATGACTGGTACAGATAGACTAATGATAGAAGTACAGCATATTACCATTGTTACAACATCAACAGAGGAAGGTTGTACATTCTCAGTTAGTTGCTCTGA